ATTTGGAGCATAAAGTCCAACTATAAGTACTTTCTTACCATAAATACCAAGTTCAATCATCACATATCTCCCCTGGGGATCTGATTCTACCAGACAAGCTGGCAGGTTTTGTTTGACATATATAACAACTCCCCCTTTCTTCCCAGGTGCAGGAGATATAAAATGAGATCCCAAACGAGCATTAACTAAATATTTCTGATCTTTAAGTAGAATATGAGTTTCCTGTAAACAAATAACATCATTGGTATGTTGCTTCAAATAATAAAAGATTTTTTTCCGTTTCTGAGGAGAATTCAATCCATTAACATTCCAGGTCAAAAACTTTGCCATCTCCCTTGGCACGCAGCCTGGAGAAGACACCATCAAACTCTGACAGAGCTGCATGTGTTGCATAACTCTTGGGTCTTGCTCCTCCCACCGGCGGTGATGGACTTCCAGGAGAATTCTCTTTGGGCTCTTTTTTACGTTGCTCTTTCTCTTTACGCTTATAAGCTGCACGAGTCATCCTCTGCTCTTTAGCCTCCGTTTGGCGTTGCTTTGCCACTTCTATCATCCCTGCGGAAACCAAATCTAGTGCCTCAGATTGCTGCTCAGGTTCCTTAGCACTCAAAGATTTCCGACCAGATGAAGTTGAGCCTGCACTCAGGACCGAAGTATAGAAATCTCTAGCTTTGTCAACTGTGTTCAATCTGTAACGTGTCCCAGCATGGCTCAAAACGATACCCATCGGAATTTCCCATCTGAATGGCATCGATCTAGCTTTAAGCTCATTGGTTAAAAAAGCAAAATCTTTCCTACTTCTTAAGATTTTAGATGGGATTTCCTTTAGAATGATGACATCTTGGGCGGCAATCTGAAATCTTTTGTTGTAAAAAGCTTGTATAATCTCATTCCGCAGGGACTTCTTTGTAAAGTAAATCACCACATCTCTGGGCAAATTCTTCTGCTTAGCAATCCAGGAGTTGAGTCTATAAATTTTTTCTACTTCTCTCTGTAATTCTCCTTTATCCATATCCAAAGCCAGCGCCAGATCACTAAGAACCACCTCCATCAAATCTTGATTCATATCTTCCTTGAGGCCTCTAATCCTCAGAGCATACTCCATCTGTCTGTACTGAAACATCAAAATATCTTCTTGTGAGGAGTCCACCTTCCTTTCCACGTCTTGAATTTTGTCATCTAAAGAGTCAACTTTGTCTTCCACTTCCTCAAGCCTTGCATCGAGCTTAACCACCACAGTAGCCAAACCTGAAACAGCTGCCAGTATATCTTGTCGTAATTCATTATTATTTTCTTGCAATTTAGACTTTATCCCCGTTATCTCTTCTTTGAGATCAGATTTAATTTCTGATTTAATCTGTGAAACAAATTGAGTCATTTCCTCTCTCATTTGAACTACAATCTCTCCCATTATACCTCTAACCTCTTGCACTGAAAGTCCAGGTAAAGGAGGGGAAGGTGGTGGCTGAGCCGGTGGTGCATGTTTAGATTGTTGTTGTAGCTGTGCAGTGGAAGTTATAGGAGAAGAAATAACCTTGGGTATTGAGGAAGGCTGCTGCCTCTTTGAAGCCATTTTAAAAAGCACAATTGTCACTTCCCTTTCCCCTCCAGCCAAAAAGGGAGGAGGAAAAAAAGAAAAAAAGAATTTTTAAAAAGAGACAAACTATAATCATTAAAAGTCCAGAATAAATCCCAAGAATAAGTAGTAAAAGAGCAAACAATTCAAAAAAAAAAAAAATTCTAAGCCAAAAGCAAAAGCAAAAGCAAAAAACAATCCTTAAAAAGGGAAAGTAAAACAAAAGAGAAAGGAAAAAAAAAACTCCGACACTTTCAAAACGCCATCTTAAGTCCTTTCACTAGTATAACAAAGAAAAGGAGGAAAAATAGTAAAAATCAAAAGATAAAAAAAATAAACACCTAAAATATAACAAAAAATCCTTTAAACTGCTCCGTCCGTTTAAAAATTACTCACCAAAATGCTGTAAACACGGAGATAGAAGCGGCGGTTTCTTTTGCTTCCAAGGAAGCAAAAACAGCTGGGAGGCGGAGATCAGCAAGAGCTCCGAGGGAACACTCCTTTCACCCCCTCTAGAAATAAATCCAGAGGGGGTTCAGGGGTTCTACCTCTACTCTTGCGTTCTCTATCCCTTCCCTTTGCCCGGGAAGGGATTTCCGAGCCGCGGGCCAGCTGATGCGCGCTGCGCTCCGCGGCTCTGACACTTCCCCAGCTGGACGGCTAAAAGCTAGCCGCCATCGCCGTCGCCTCCCACCGGAAGCTCCACTTTCTGATTACTCTTGTCCCTTCTCTATAAAGGAAACTGCATAGTTTCTTCCTTGTCAGGTACTGACTGATTCACTGCAGTCTCTTCATTGATGGATTGATTGAAATGTTTCTGATGGGATTGAAATTGGAGGTTCTGCCTATAATTTGCAATTCAAGCTTCATATCTGCTGATCTTGTTGGCTATAGATGTTATTTGCTGTTCTGTTATTTCCAATGCTTCCTTAATCTTCCTTCTTTCAAGGTGATATTTTTTGATCTATTATTATTGGTCTTTTTTTTCTTCAAGTTGTTTTTTTTTTCATTGGTTCTACCCTGCTTGCATCTGATTACAGTTTGGCGATCTTATTTTCCATCCTGATCTTCCATTTTGGTGGTTTCACTGTTTACCTTTTTATTTTTTTTTTTGCCTCTTTGTTGATTTTGCATCACAGGTATTCAGTTTTATGTACAACTATGCTGTACATTAGTAGGTTTATTCCTTGCAGTGAGCTAGTGCTTATATTTATTATTAGAGTATTGGCATGTATTAGTATAGCTGGTATGTATTTATGTAAATTATGTCTCACCATATTTTTAATGAGACACTGTTCATCTGGCTGTGATCTGAACACATCTAGAGATGCTGGATGTTCTCTTACCATTGCATATTTTGATCCATGAGTCTCTATTTTGTCTTTTATGATACTGCTTTTGATAGGTTGGACTACTCTTTCTTTTTGTGTAAAGACAAAAGCAAAGAAAGAATTAAACAGTTCCACTTTCTCCCTGCTACCCATTACCTCCTTGCCATCTTCTCCCATTAGAGGACTGATTTTTTCCCTTGACTTTTCCCGTTTTTTATATATTGAAAGAAACTTTTAAAATTATTGTTGACATTTGTTGCAAGTCTTAGTTCATTCTGACCTGGATTTTTCTGACTTTATATATTCAGACTTTTTGCTGGTATTCTGTTTTAATTACGTGTCCCTCTTTTCATTTTTCATACTTGTTCTTTTTGTCTCTCAGTTTCTCAGAGAGTTCTTTATACAACCATGCTGGTTTCGTCTGGGGTCTCTTATTTTTCTTTCTCAATGGTTTCATGCTCAACTGGTCTTTTATAATCTCATTTTTCAGAGTTTTCCTAGTTTTGTGAGTTGTTTTTTCCTTTAAGATTTCCACCCATGGAATCCTTCCTATAATGTTGCTAACTTGCTGACTAACCAGGCAGATTTGCTGGCAGTTGTTCCAACTTGGCAAATGAAATGTATTAATGTGACTGGCAAAGCTGGGTGTATCTTCCCCCTGGGTGTTATTGAAGTTTTCTTTTTTAACATCCCAATTTTTGAGGGCAGAAGCTTGCCCTCCTGCTTGGCATTCAAATTGCTGGAAGCTTTTTCATCTCTTTGACCTCCAGGAGGGAAGAAGATGCTAAAAGCAATTTCTTCAGGAGCATCATCATCCTCATTCTAGCCGTTATTTATCCACTGCAGGATGAAAGTCTGTTCTGCATGTTTCCAACCAATAAGGTCCTGAGCTTTCTTTTGCCAGTTGGACTGGCAATACTTGCTGCTCCATCTTCTTTTAGATCTCTTTTGTGGATGCTTTTTATCAAGTGGAATCCATTCTATGACTGCGTTGGTCCACCTGCCATCAGTTCTTCTTACTATGTGACCAGCCCATTTCCATTTCAATTCTTTTACTCTTTTGATGGCATCGTATATTTTCATTTGTTCTCTAATCAATGTTCAGGTTGATCCATCTTGTCTTGTGATGCCAAGCATATATCTTTCCATGGTTCTTTGCACCACTCATAGCTTTTGTACTGATTGTAAAATTAGTATCCATATTTCATTGGCATATGTTGGAACAGATAGCACACACTGATCAAAAACTTTTCTTTTCGGCCTAAGGGGAAGTTCTTGAAAATTAAGCTTAGCTTGCTGAATGTCTGCCAACCACATTTAACATGCCACTCAATTTCCTTTTTTGTACCATCTGCCATGCAATTATTATTGCTTTCTGGAATACTGAGTCAAACTCCTTTCTGTAGTCATTGAAAGCCATGCACAGAGGCATGGTGTACGCATTGTGCCTTCCAATGACTTGCTGAACAACCTGAATGTGATCCATTGTACTGTAACAACTTCTGAATCCTGCCTGTTCCTTTGGCTGTGCATCATTTAATATTCGTTTTGCTATTATCCTGGTGAAAACTATGTAGATGACTGAAAGAAGGCTTATTGGGCGATAGTTTTTAAAATCATGTTGGGCACCTTTCTTCTGTATAAGAATCACTTCAGCATTTTTCCATGCATTGGATGTTTTTTTCTTCTCTGAGGCATCTTGAGTATAGTTTGCTAGCATCTTGGGTAAAAGCTGGTGATCATCAGTTTTCAGCATTTCAACCGTAACACAGTCATTTCCTGAAGCTTTGTCATTTTTCATTGATTTTATAGCACTTGATACTTCCTCTACTAGGATATTTGGCATTTCCTCTTTGGTGGGTGTTGTTACTTTTGACTGATCTTGATCTTTGTATAACTCTGAATAGAATTTTCCAATTATTTCTAACATTTCCATTTTTTTGTAAAATGAGTTCATAACATAAAGCTCCTGTCTGTAAGGACCCACTTCAGCTAAGCCTCCCAAGAAAGCAGAACTCTTGAGACAGGCATTATCTCAAAAGGAACTGGGAGAGGGAAACCCACATAAACAACGTATTAAAAGATATCTTTATTACTCCTCCCCTCAGAGTCCCAGTGTCCATTTGAATTCCAGCCAATCCATAGGTGGAATAGTGTTTTGGTAACTGGCTCCGTTGGCCCGCTTCTTCAAGGTCTCTCTCACTTTCGTTTCCTTCTGGTTCTAGGCACCAACCGTCACCCAGATAAGGGAGATGCATTCCTTCTCCTGGGGAAAGGGTACAGCAGCAAGACAGTGTAAGGCATCCCAGAGCATCCCCCCTCTCAACAGAATGGCAGGCCACAAAGAATGGTTATAAAGGCAAGCAAAGCACAGGAAGAGAAAAGAATATATTTCTTTGGGGACTCTGACACTGTCCTTCAGCAAAATTTACTTTGTGGCTCCTGATACCAAGGTGCTATAAAACAATAAAATTGATTTTATTGTTACTATTGAATTTTATAGGATAACTTTTCTACCAAATATTAAAAAACAATGTCTTAAAAACTGTATTATTTACCTTTTCCGCACAGTCTTATTTTTTATCAGAGGTTCCAGAAGAATCTGAAAAGAGTGAAACAAATATTTTAAACAGTATTACATGGATATTTTTGACAACACACTAAGAAAAAAATGCATTTTATTAACATTGAATTTACCTATAATCTTACAACTGCTTATTTTGCAATGCAAAATATTATCGTATCGAATAATACGATTCCTAAAAGAACTATTTTTGATATATGCAAAGAAAGCGTGCTGCTAAAAGGTTATACAATTCCAGCAAGGGAGGATGAAGAGACGGCATTCCTAATTGTGACTCCCCAAAGTAGAGAGTCATCAACTGAAACATGTCTGTTTTTCTCCCAGAAACGAAAGGACAAATCTTACCATCCTTGTCATCTTATTCCCTTTTTTTTGTTAAGGCACATGGAGCCAAATTCTGTGGACATTTCCCTGATGGTTTTCTCCATCACTTTTAGAAGATGTTTTTGTTTTTTGTTCTCTTTAAAACAAAATTGGCGAACCACAATCAAAATTTAATTTTTAATGAATTATATAATTTTACTTACTGAGGTCTTCTAATTTCTCGCTAGCATGTAAGATACTTACAATTTTCAGTTTCTCTATTTCTTTCTGGAACCTCTGGATTTCTTCTGCCAGTTTTTTACATTTCTCGCAATCACTCCACGCTCCTTCTTCATTGGCAGCCTGAGGGAAGGGAGTGTAAGAAAGAATAAGTGGCTGTAAAGGTGTACTGCTAATGTTACTTATTTGGGTAATGAAAGGTCTGCAAGAAAACAACCAAGCTCAGAGAGCACTAAGGGCCCCCCAGTGTAGCTTCTCTATCTGGTTAAAACTGAATACATTTCCTTCACCCCTTCCGTATACATAATATGGCTATGATTAACAGTACCTGCTTTCTCATCACTTAGAATCATATGGCTGGAAAGGACCTTGGAGGTCTTTAGTCCAGCCCCCTGCCCAAAGCAGGAGTTGTTATACCATCCTGAACAAATGGATGTTCAATCTTTTCTTGAAAACCTCCAGTGATGGAGCACCCTCGCATTGCTTCTTGTCTAGCTCTTAGGTGCTTTTGAGAATAAGTCAACACCTTCATCTTTATGACTGTCCTTCAAGTACTGGAAGACAGTGATCATGTCATCCCTAATTTTTCTTTTTGATAGACTAGGCATAGCTAGTTCCCTTAACTGATGGTCATACAATTTAGCCTCCAGGACTCTTATCATCTTAGTTGCTCTTCTCTGCACTCTTTCTAAACTCTCAGCATCTTTTTTTTATTGTGGCGATCAGAACTGGATACAGTATTTCACATATGGCCTCACAAGTGTGGTACAGAGTGGTACTATCACATGATTTTGATGCAATCCTACTCTTGAGGCATCGTAGAATTATGTTGGCATTTTTGGCAACTGCAGCACACTGCTGACACCTAGATCCCTCCCATAGTTTCTGCTATTGAGCCAAGTCTTTATTTTCACTTGCCAAAAAACTATTTTCCTCCTCCAGCTAAGATAGAGAAATTACCATAAACATTAATCAGTCATAGAATATAATTAAGCAGACAGAAAGAGAAGCTTAAAAGAGGATTGTAAGGGAAGTGAATTACTTACATCTCTGACTGTGACATTTTTCTCTGCCATCTTTTCCAGATGTTTTTCTCTAATTTGTTTTGTCTCCTCTTGTTCTGTATTTTTATGGAAAAACACTTGTGCTATTACACAATATTTATGAAAAAGGTTTCATATTAAGCCACCAATGACACAGCACTTTAAGACTGGCCATTACAAAGGTCACAGTCCATTCAAAATGCAGTGTCAGGGTGTGTTGTTAGTGCAGGGAAACAGATCATTTTGCATCTTTCCCCCAGTCACTGAAAGGGAGTGCAGAGCCTCTCCCAAAGGCAGCAGCTCTGAAGGGAAGGTTTTTTCCCCCCTGGGGTGCCAAAAGAAGACAAAGGGTGGATTAGGCTCATTCTTGAAGAATAGATCAAAGTGCTATTAAAGAAAGAACTACAAGACCTAGAAAGCTGTTTTGTCTTCCCTTCATCCTTTTCCAAGCTATGCTTCCCCAACTTTTAACACTTCTTCATTCAGCTGAACCTGAATTTGCATGGGATTTTATTTGTTCATTTGTTTGTTTACTGGGGCGTGTGTCTGTATTAAAGTTGGTGTGAGATTAAAAACAGCAGATTTCCATAGGCTACAAAATTTGCCAATCTGTATCCATTAAAAAAAAAAATAGCATGAAGACCCTCGATAACTACTGATAACCACTGTTAAACAACAATCCTCATGACATCACCTGAACTTTGTCTCTAGCCAGCTGTGGGGACAGCTGAAGTTGCCCTTTAGATGCTCTGTTGTTAAAGTGATGTTATAATGGCCCTCTTCTTCCAATATAAACCTTGCTGTGTGAACAATTGACACTGCCTCTGAGATAGTGTTGATGAAGCATGGTCAGAGGCTAGGATCCTTCCATCTCTAGTTTAGGGTAAGGTGACTCTGAGCCTCCTGACGTACTCAGGAATTAGAGATTTGAGGGCTCTAGCCACCCCCCCATTTTTTTATTCTAAAAAATGTTGCTTGTTCCTAGATTCTTTTGATTTGTTTTATTTCATTAATATTATTTATGTCATATTACCTCTTTGAATCCTAAATCCTAGAGTCAGACAGGCAAGTCGAGAAATAAATAAATAAATAAATAAAACAGAAGATCTCTTACCTGAAAGAGGGCTTTTCCTGCATAATAAAGGAAGGTCTCCATGACCTAACAAAACTAAACTAATCCTAACAGATATTTACTATGATGAATGAATGAATGAATGAATAGTATGTGTCAATAGGTATGATATTAAGTAAATAAATGAATAAACAAACAAATATATAATATAAAATAAACCAAACCTAAGCTAAATAAATACCGTTAAATAAAAGCAAAACCAAATATAAGCAACCATGACCTCACAAGGGAAAAGCAAAGCAAACTGAGTGGCTGAATGATTGCTACTCAGAGTTTTATCTATTTTGCAATATTGGTAGAAATTTAGGTACAAAATTCTGCTGATGCGTTTGGTGGAATCGGAAGATGATCTAATAAGAAAAATGCCACAGAAATATTAGTGCCAATGAAGAAAGCACAATTGAGAGTGAAAAAGTGGTGCAGGGGTGAATGAGCAGAATTGGAGAGATTTCTATGTTTGGGAGAGTAAATTGCAGTATGGCTCTTGCTCCACCAAACTTCAGGACAAATCCAGTATTTGAACTTAACCATTCAGCAACAGCCCTTTAATTTCTGTCCTGAGCTGTCAATATACATACTGTGATTATGTTCCATGACCATTTATTATTTGGATACAGTGTACTTTTTCTTATTGTTTTTCTTTCCATATCAGGGCCTTTGTAATGTCCAGAATAAATGACAGAAAATCTATTACATTTAGGGAAAATGTGCATGTTGAGCATTTAAACAGAAAGCACAAATTCATGGCATGGGATTGGGCTATTTGAGGGATTGCCTTTTCCCACTTATACCAGCCCGTACACATCCATCTCACAGAGAAGGTTTGTTGATGGGTCCCAGAACACATGCCTTCTCTATTGTGGTACCTGCCATATGGAATAACTTCCCCAAAATTAAGTCAGCTTCTTCTCTTTTGATTTTCCAAAAAGCCCTTAAGAACTGGTTAGGTGAAAACAGAGTTTTCCTAGAAAGAGACCTGGATCAAGACAAAATGCAGAAGGAAGACAACAGCAACATACTATGCAAAATCAATTGCAACAATTGTAACCAATTGTATGTGGGACAAACAGGAAGGCAACTGAAAACAAGAGTTCATGAATATCAATTAGCAGTTAAACAACATGATCAAAAATCCCTGATCTCAGTCCACATTGATGATAAACAACACCAATTTGATTGGGAAGAAACAAAAAATATTGGGCATGCCAACACCCACCACACACTTGAATTTATTGAGGCCTGGTATTCCACCAAAAGAGCAATTAACAAGCATATTGATCTAGATCTAACATATCAGTATGTAAGAAACCAGACCATTTGAAGTGCCAATCAACAAAAGAAACAATCAGCTGCTCAGAATTCAAATATAGCTCCTAATGAACAACCAGTCACATGACCAATTGACCACACTGGCACACAAGAGACTTGATGCATCAGAATTGATGCATTTGTTTCAAATATCCCTTTCAAATATTGCCTTTTCTTCCAGTAGTTCTGCAATTGCTGGTCCTACTTGTTCAGCCAACAGCCCTGAATCATATAGCTCATTTTTCACCAAATATCCAGGAACTCCAATTCCTAGCATGGTCCCTGTAACCCAGGTGATGACCAACTGGTATGAGTTTCTGTAAATTATACCTCACCATATTTTTAATGGGAAAGACTCTCTTAATCTTAATCTCCTCTGGTGAGATCTGTCCAGTATGGTTTAATCTCTGGCATAGCTCTCATCTTCCTCAGAGCACAGAAGCCACACAACCTAACATATCTACAAAGATACACACAGAAAGCTTCACCCATTTATATCACAAGTATCTGAATAGGGGAATTATTTACTTATGTCATTAGGTATTTTTGCTACTTTTTACTGGTTCTTGGTTAGTCAATAAGGAGAGCTGAAGATTTAGAGATGAGTTTATAGAAATAATAGAAAATACTTGTGGCTCCGGTTTTAGATTTTGGCTGTGGTCTGTTCTCCAAGCTTGCTTCATTATAATTTCTGAATGTCTCGTTACCAAATTAGGTAACATCATCAGCAGGATTTTCTTGTCCTATTCTTCTTAGCTTATAAATGTCTTATGTGCCAGTGTGGTCAGTTGGTCATGTGACTGGTTGTTCGTTAGGAGCTATATTTGAATTCTGAGGAGTTGATTGGTTCTCTTATTGATTGGCACTTTGAATGGTCTGATTTCTTACATGTTGCTATGTTGGATCTAGATCAATATACTTGTTAATTGTTCCTTTGATGGAATACAAGGCCTAAATAAATTTACGTGTGTGGCAGGTGTTGGCATGCCGAACAATTTTTGTTCCTTCCCAATCTAATTGGTGTTGTTTAATGTGGATTGAGATCAGGGATTTTGGGTCTTGTCTTTAACTGCTAGTTGATGTTCATGAACTCTTGTTTTCAATTGACTTCCTGTTTGTCCCACATAGAACTGGTTATAATTATTGCAATTGATTTTGTATACTATGTTGCTGTAGTCTTCCTACTGTATTTTGTCTTTAGGTAGCGCTTTTCTGAGTGTAAATGTGAGTTTGTGAGCTATCGTTATTGCTAGGAATTGCAGTATTCTGGCAGCCATTCCGGATGTTCCTTTGATGTATGGCAGGACTTGTTTTTGTGTTGTGGTAGGCTCTGTATTTTGTCGGGGCTTGGACAATAAATGTTGTATTTTGAAATTTTTGGGATAACCATTGTGGAGGAAAACATCAAAAAGGTGTTTCTCTTCTGCTTTTCTCAATAATTCAGTGCTGCAGTGTGTTTTGGCTCTTTTGAAAAGGGTCTCGATGCAGCTCCTCATGTGCAGAGGAGTGGTTGCTTGTGAAATTTAGAATTTGGTCTGTGTAGGTGGATTTTTGCTATACACAGGTTATTAATTCGCCATTATGTCACTATCTAGGAAGGGGAGTTGTTGCTCTTTTTCTTCCTCGTGTTGACAACTGATCCCAGTGAATACGTTATTGACTAGATAGTGTGTCTCTTCTAGTTTGGTGCATTTGATGATGGTAAAAGTGTCATCTATGTAACGTACCCAAAATTTTGGCTGGATGGTTGGCAGGACTGTGCGTTCAAGTTTTTTCATTACTGCTCCTGCTATTAGACCAGATATAGGTGTGCCTTGTACTCGTTGATAGTTTTGCCATTGAATTTAAAGTGTGTTATGAGGCATAACTCCAGATATTTCATGGTAGCATCAGTAGACATGGAGTGTTTCTTAGGAGACTTTTCGTTATGGCTTTGATTTTCTGTGAGTAGATCATAGATGGTTTGTTTAACCAGGTCAATGTTAATAGTTGAGAATAATGTGGTGACGTCAAATGAGATCATTATTTCTTCTTTGTTCATTTTGATGTTTTTAATTAATTGGAGGAATAGTTCAGGTGAGTTTATAGAATAAGTCGAGATGGTGAAGTCTTTTTCTTAAAGTTTTCACTAGTTTGTAGGTTGGTGCTCTAGGTAGTGCCACTACGGGGCAGAGAGGAATTTCATTTTTGTGTATTTTGGGAAATCTGTAGAATCTGGGTATAGTGGAGTCTTATGGTAGTAAAAAACTGATTTCTGTTGAAGTTTTTCTTTTTCCATTCTTAGCAAGGTGTTTCTTATTTGGTTGTCTAATTGTTTTGTTGGGTCTTTGTTGATTACCTGGTAGATGTTAGTGTCATTAAGTAAATTCTTGGCTTTCTTGATGTAATCAGTTTTGTCCATTACCACAGATAGTCTACCTTTGTCTGCCGATAGGATGACAATGTCTCTATCTTTTCTTAATTTCTTTAATGTCTTCTTCTCCTCCTGGTTAAGTGTTCTGTCTTGTCTGTTTTGTTGGATGTTAGGAATGATTCTCTGTCTTATGTCCTTTTGTGTTCCCTGGTCAAGTTTGTTAGTTTTCATTATGTATTCTAAATTGTTAAGGAAATCTACTAAGTCTGTGTTCTTGTAGTCGAAATTAAAGCCTTTAACGAGGATGGCTTTGTCATCTACAGATAAAGGCCTACTGGACAAGTTTTTG